CAGCACAGCGGGTAAATCGCCAGCGTATATATTGTATGGTCGTGAGATTCGAAACCGTTTCGACCGGCTCCGACCAAACTTGCGCGCAAAGGTCGAGGAGAAACAAGGTGCACAAATACGGGCCACGTCTCATTCAAGGAGGGTTAACTTGAACCCGGGAGATCATGTCCTGATAGACAATTTTGAGAATACAGGTGGGAAGCGCATTGAAGCTGAAATAACAGAAATACTGTCGCCCTCAACTTACCGCGTTACAACCTCGTCCGGCATCACAGTGAAGCGCCACGAGAGGCAGATTGTAAAACCACGGAGGTTGGAGCGAATCACCCAGAGACAATATTAAAACACGCGGAGAATTGTAATGTACGCGCATAATGCGAATGCGCAGCAAGCTGCAAGGTGTGTGTGCGTAACGTGTGGATGAGTGTGCGAGCGAGCAAACGCAAAAGCCTGTAAGAGTCAGATAGACTCGAAGCGTGGTCCAAGACGTACGAGATAAATAAAGCTAATCGGCACGGCTTATATACATTCACATACATAGCAAGTTGGTTTATTGTCTAAGTCCTAAATATATGAACAATGGAAGATCTCACGTAAGATATTGGCAAAAAATATTTAAACAATTTTTTCAAAGCTAGAATTATTAACTTAAAAAAATAGTTTTTTTGTCATGCGACAGACAGCCTACCCCGGGTGGGTAATTCCCGGGGCTTTCTCGCACGTGTTGATGCCAGGCGGCAGTCCTCGCTTCACGTGATCATCCTTTTTTTTCAAGGGGGCAAGGTGTGAATTCAAGTTATTTTAAATCTTTCTGTAAATAGTCAGATATTTTCTCGATCGATTCGGTTCGGTTCGATTATTTAACTTCAATTTAAGGCAACAAGAAAAGTTTTAATATTTTACTAGCGAATTACCTCGCTCACTAACGCTAGCTTGGTTTAGTCAGAGTTTTGTAAGTATTTTTAAGAAAGCAAGAAATATAAAATAAGTTCTCACAAGGTATACACCAGGTATATATAATGCATATACCTTGTATTTAAATGGGTCAGATTCAGAATTTTTCAAATAAACCTGCGGGCGAGGTACACAGATTTTCCTGAAATTTTGGTATGTTATAGTACATCATAAAAGGGTCCCAAAACGAAAATTTTAGACCCCCTCCCCCCCTCCTTTCCCCCCACCCACGCTATAAACGTCTATTTTCTATTTATATTTACTCGAGAAGCACTCAAAAAATCTTAAAAATTCAGGAAGGTACTTTTCAACAATCCAAACAATCTTGAATTTTCTCAGATTTTTTGAGTGCTTCTGGTCTTCAGGAAAAATCATTGAAAATTACAATTGTTTTATTTTCGGTGAAATGATTCGATATACCAGACCAGAGGATCTTTTTCTTAATTCTGACATCAAAAAACGATTCCTTGAATTTTTTCAGAATTTTTCATTCATGCTAATAAAGCCAAGAGCTGAAAAACCGCTTTTTTCACGAAAATAATTCTTTAGGGCAGTACGGAGCCTCAAAAAATCTGGATAAATTTTATTTTTTTCTTCATCAAAATATATAATCTCAACTTTTTTTAGATTTTTTAATTGAAAAAATTTTTTTTTGAATTCCTTGTCAAATTTTAATCAATTTTGACCGTTTCAAGTTTTTGATTGAAGCTTCCTAGCTCATTTAAGAGCATAAAAAAGATTAATGCAAAATTCTGAGGACATTCATCATACTTTTTTTCAAATGTCTTGCTATCTCAGGTTCTCAGGGTATTCTGCTTTCATGTTTTTTTAAAAATCAAGCCTATTGCAGCTGATACAAAGCCAAAGTAGGCAAAGACATACAAGCGTGAATTTTCTAAAAAGAATACTTCTCTTCAGTGGCTTGCTAAGATCCTCAATACATTCTGCTTTCATGTTTTTTAGAGAAATAAGTTTATTGCAGCTGATAAAAAGCCAAAGTAGACCAAAACATAGAAGCGTGGATTTCTAAAAAGAATACTTCTCTTACGTGGCTTGTTAAGATCCTCAATACATTCTGCTTTCATGTTTTTTAGAACATCAAGCCTAGTAGAACTAATAAAAAGCCAAAATAAGCCAAAACATACAAATGTTGATTTTCAAAAAAGAATACCACCGTCCTCTGGCCATCTTAGGTCCTCAGGGTATTCTGCTTTTAGGTTTTTTAAAAAATCAAGCCTATTGCAGCAGATAAAAAGCTAAAGTAGGCCAAAACATACAAACGTTGATTTTTAAAAAAGGATTACCCACTCCTATGACCTGTTAAGATCTCCATACATTCTGCTTTGATGTTTTTTAGGAAAATAAACCTATTGCAGCTGATAAAAAGCCAAAGTAGGCCAAAACATACAAACGTTGATTTTCGAAAAAGAATAACCCCGTCCTCTGGCCATTTCAGGTCCTCAGGTATTCTGCTTTCATGTTTTTTTAGAAAATCAAGCCTAGTGTAGCTTATAATAAGCCAAAATAGGCAAAAACATACAAACGTTGATTTTTAAAAAAGCTTATTTTGGCCTTGTGTAAGCTAAATTAGGCTTATTTCTCTAAAAAACATGAAAGCAGAACGTATTGAGAATCTTAGCAAGCCACAGAAGAGGAGTATTCATTTTTGAAAATCCACGCTTGTATGTTTTGGCCTACTTTGGCTTTTTATCAGCTGCAATAGGCTTATTTCTCTGAACAACATGAAAGCAGAATGTATTGAGGATCTTAGCAAGCCACTGAAGAGGAGTATTCTTTTTTGAAAATCCACGGTTTTATGTTTTGGCCTACTTTGGCTTTTTATCGGCGGAAATAGGCTTGATTTTCCAAAAAAACATGAAAGCAGAATACCCTGAGAATCTGAGATGGCCAGAGGACGGTGGTATTCTTTTTTGAAAATCAACATTTGTAAATTTTAGCTTATTTTGGCTTTCTGTTAGTTCTACTAGGCTTGATGTTCTAAAAAACATAAAAGCAGAATACCCTGAGGACCTGAGTTGGCCAGAGGACAGGGGTATTCATTTCTGAAAATTAACGCTTGTATGTTTTGGCCTACTTTGGCTTTTTATATTACTTATAGTAGACATAAAAAAAAAAAAANAAGCAGAATACCCTGAGAACCTGAGATAGCCAGGGGAAGGGGTTATTCTTTTTCGAATTTCAACTCTTGTAAGTTTTTGCTTGCTTGGGCTTTCTAGTACTGACACTTGACTTTTTTTCAAAAGTACACAAAAGCTGAATGTGTTGAAGATCTCAGATGGTCACTGAGGTCAGATATTTTTTATATTTAATCAATGTTAGTATTTTTTGACCGTTTTTGGCTCTCTCTTACCAACAACAGACTATTTTTTCAAAAAAAAAACAAAATAAAATGAAAGCAGAGCATATATTTTTTGATAAATACTAAACTTATCAATTTGTGCATTTAGAAAATCGTCGTGAGTCTCTGATTAGATTATATATATTTTTTGCATCAATTACTCTTTACTTTTTATGAAGAAAATCATAATAGCAGAACATTTTTGTCAAAGTATACTGCAAAATTGAACAAGAATGTTTAACTTGGGCGAGTGTATTCCCTGTATCTTATAGTAAAATAATAAAATCAACGCGAGCCAGGGCTTGTTATATTTTTGCTATCAATCACTTGCATTCGTCTTTAAAAAAAAAAAAAAAACATCAAAGCAGAATATATGGAGCATCTTAGATGGCTAGAGAGGTGACATTCTTTTCATAGTCAATCAACGCTAGTATCTTCGACCTTTTTTGCCTTTTTTTACTAATTCTAGACATTTTTTTAAACAAAAGATAAAAGCAGAGCATATATTTTTTGTGAAATGCTAATCTTACCTGCGGTTACATGTAAAAAAAATCGGCGCGAGTCTAGGATTAAATTATATATTACTAGACTTTTTTTCAAAAAAAAAAGATGAAAGCATAGCTAATTTTTTTAGTGAGAGGCTAAACTTACCCATGGTTATATGTAAAAAAAATCGGCGCGAGTCTAGTATTAGATTATATATTTTTTGCATCATTTACACAAAACTTTTTATCAGGAAAAACATGAAAACAGAAAAATTTCAAATCGTTGTAATGCAAAACTATCAATGACTTTCGTTATTGTATCGATCGTCTCGTCCAAGCGTCATTTTAATTGAGCCGAGTTATTACTTCGAATACTTTGACTTTTTAGCTCATAGAATAGTCTTATCATATTGCAAAACATAAAAGCAGACCCTATCTGAATCTTTAAAATGCAAAATGGTTTATAATTTTTGTAATCCGCACACTCCTTTTGACTTAGCTTATTGGTGATTCAAAGCGTGTCAATTATTGACATTATTGACCTAATCATGACTAAGACTAAACTTTTTATAACATTAAACATGAAAGCAGTTTAGTTTCGGCCACGAAAAAGCGTTCGGCAAAGACTTATGTAATTCGCTTTCTCGCGATACCCTTGTTTACGTCTATAGCAAGCAGAGAGAGGTTACGTTAAGCGGGTCTGAAAATACGCAACTTTAATACTTTTTTTCTCGTAAACGGCTCATTTTCGAGGATCACTTATATGTTGATTCTTGTTCAGGAGGTTGAAATCTATAAGTAAAAAAATTTTCATTGCATTTGACTGGGACTCAAGGTCCTCTGTTAATCTTCCGGGGTCCTTTTGGGTTTGACACTTTTTTATTATGCACTATAACATACCAAAAGCGCGTCAAGATCGATGACATACGTGCGGACGAAAATTTAAAAAAGTATTATTTTGACCCATATACATTGTAAATACAAACTATTTAAAATGTATATACCTTTTAAATACAAGGTATATATTTAATAAAATTATTTTTTTTTTTTAGTCATCGATTTTCCAGATTTGTTAAGGAGGCCTGAATTTTAGCGCGAGATTCATTCAACGTGTAATATATTGATAATTCTTAATGAGTTTTGAATTGTTATTCAAAAAATAATTGCATTTTAATTTTAAGTGAAAAATATCTCTCACTTACTTGTATTATATTGTTAAATATTTCTAACAAAAAAAAAACCAGATGATGATTGTTGGGAGCTGAGAATAGAAACCAAGGTGTACTGAAGGCCTCTAATAAATGTAAAAGTTTTGTACTAGCAACCATTGACAATGTTTTCAAATATGGCGATACGTTTACTAAAATAGTTAATAAGCAGTCAAATAATGGTTGTAATCTTTGATGCCCAGTAGTAATTATTTTGTGAAAAACAATTACCAATAAATCAGCATGGGTTCCTGAAAGTATATATTGTTCAATGTATCTATATGAAAAGCAGAAAAAAAATTTTTATCATTACCTGTAAAAACAGGAATATCCATGGGTACAGTAGCAGTGTAAGGTTTATTCAATCTTACGCCAAAATTCCGCTCACCACTTAATAATAATAAAATGAAAACTCCAATGTGCATTAAACCTACTTTGGCTGAAAAAAATTCAAATTTCATAAAAATTCTACTTGTGCGTATAAGAAATGTATAAATTATAAACAATCAATCTGATATAATTCGTTGCATTTCATTTAAGTGTTGAGAGAGGGATAAAAAATTAAAAATTTTCTATTTACTATATCGTCGCCCCAACGCAGGAATGTATCTATTCCAATTCTGTAGCAAGAAGGATACTTACTCGCGAGCAGAGGCAAAAAGGTTTCTAACTCGAGCGCAGCGGCAAAAAGGTATCCAACTCGAGCGTAGAAGCAAAAAAGTAGCTTATTCAAACGAAGTGTCAAGAAAGTTTTGACGCGCTGAATTTAGGTTGGCAACGCAGCCGTAAATGATAAAATTTTGTTTTGTATTAGAGCAAAAAAGAGGAAAAACCATTCAGCTAGTGTAATGATTTTCATCCATTTGTAATGCGAGCAAACAAATCAATCTCACCGCGATTTCGACTCAATTTGCCACTTACGGAGAACTTTGTATGTTCCGAGAGGAAAGTAGGAGTTATCGCCTTTACATAACTTTGAATTAAATTTTGAATGTTGAATGTTGAAATAAAATTTTATCATTTACGTCTGCGTTGCCAACCTAAATTCAGCGCGTCAAAACTTACTTGCCACTTCGTTTGAATAAGCTACTTTTTTGCTTCTAAGCTCGAATTAGATACTTTTTTGCCGCTGGGCTCGAGTTAGATACCTTTTTGCCTCTGCGCGCGAGTAAGTATCCTTTTTGCTACAGATGGAAATAGATACCTTCCTGCGCTGGGGCGACGATATTAGGCTGTAAAAGAAATCTTTTTTCAAGAAGCTTAATAAACTTTTCCAGCATATGTGCACGTTTGAGGCTGATTCCGCGATAAATTAATTTTTGTACTGCGACGGGGCGGAATTGGAGCGGCAACTGCCCCTGATCCTTCCTTGGTCATCAATTTATTTTCCGGGGCAAGCTCGAGCACTTTTCGTCTTACTTTATAAAATGGGGGGTATGGGCCATCGCCAATCAAGTCGCGAGCATCGACTCGCGTCATCAACTTCGCGTCAAATGTCGCTAGCTAAAAGAAAGCGGGGTTTGGATTAAACTCTGAGTTTAAGATCCGAAAAATAATCCATGACAAGGATTTTTAAATTTTACTCACTACTATTCAGTTTATTCGTATGTACTTCAGTTGATTTTCGGCCACGCAGGGCCTGTATTGTGCTCTCGGCAACAAATAATTAATCACCGTTCAGTTTGAGTCTCCGATTCGCATTTACTCGATCCGCTGTTCCACGATCGCTATCGTGAACGAAGCCTAACGCCGCACTCGAGTACTATCCCTGGTAGCACAAACATGTGAAAAAATAATTGCGCAGATCACTAGTCAACTGTTTCAGCATTCAATTCAATTTCTGATCAAAGTGAATTTAAAAAGTTTTTTTTGTTAGAATTGAAAAAATCTTGCTTAAAAACTCTGTCATCTAGCCAAAATAAAAGTAGTCTTAAACTACTGACCTCATAGTGAGCCGCCATACTCGTGGTTCTGCGTGCGGACGAGTGCATGCAAATTCTGGTTGTGCTCGCCGCTCACGCACGTTATATAGTGAAACGTATTATTTGTATACGTTATATGAGCAATTTTTTAAGAAAAACGCAATTTTTGAGGTGGAATCATCAAATTTTTTTTTCAACCTACGTGGATACGGAACCCTGGGAAGTGTTTCTGAGGGTCCTGGGAACATCTTACAACGTAGTAACCATTGACATTTTCATAGTGTTTATTTTTATAGCTACTTTTGTGATTTAGAGGACGAAAAATCATGTTTTTTCGTAAATACTCAATTTTTGAGTCGCTCAAAAAGTATCAAAACTTATTTCAAAAAAATAACTGACTACTATGAAAGGAAATTTTCTCAGCTTTCTGATGGTGGTATCAGCTTTTCCAATACGTCGCACATTCACCCAGAAAATTGCCATGAAATACGGAGAGCTTAATATATCGAAAAACTCAGTACGGAAAAAGTGAACTTTTAGTTTATTTTTGATTTTTCTACGTGAAAATGACATTTTTTAGAAAACCTGACTGCAGCATGAGAAAGTTGGGAAAATTTCCTATCGAAATAATACCTTCATTCATTTGTTCAGATCAATTATTGTCCAAAGAGAATTACCAAAACATTCAGAAAGTACTTGGTAAAATTATCGCAATAAAATTGATACAATTCTGCTGCGCGATTGTTACTGTTTCAATATTAAGCAGGAATTGCATTGTCTGCAGAAATTAACGGGTTCATTTCTTCTGAAATTTTCTTACATTCTAATACTTTCTAATCAAATTCAAAAATATTTTGCTACCGAGGTACGTGTAGAACGCGATCGTACTATTCGTGATGCTTGTTATTGCTCTTGGTCTCGGCTCTGCTGCTTATCTCATCTGCACCTCTACTTAGCCTAAAAATACCTAATGAAAACACACTACTCGCTTGGCTGGCGTAATATATTTCATCTTATTTACTCGCTCATATTCATTTCGCTATTTTCACGTGCGGTGTGCGGGAGGGTTGCGTATTTGTAGGTGGCGGCTGTAACCCCCGTCACAGTACTCTTCGATTGTATTTCTTTTTTGTAATTTTCTATTTTACAACGATACAATAGTCCGCAATAAAATCGTCTCACACTATCATAAGCTATCGAATGTTCGAACGCAGTCACTTTACAACGCAGGTGGAGAATTGAATCTCTCTCTACGGTCACTTAAACCAGAGCAATTACACTTGTTGTACACCAAAGTACTGTCAGTGTCTCGGCTATTAAGTAATATCAAATCATTTGTCCGAAAACTCATCATATTCATACGAAAGCTACCCAACTCCCAACCCATTCCCATTCTTTAAGAACATGCATTTCATTAAAACTCATTTATCTTCTATTCCATAACATGTGTTCTTCAATCATACTCAAAAAGAGCCTGCTAAATAGATACTCAATTCTGTTAGGGCTATATTACTGCTATACTATTGCTATATTATTATTATATTACAGCTACATTACTGCTTATTATTGCTTATTATCGTATTTATATTGTATTTGTCACAATAACGCTCTTGAACCAAGCAGGGTCTCCGTAAGGCCTAATGAAGTTATCTATCAATCTATCAATTATAATGCTAGAGTTACTGGGGGTTACCAATAATCTGCTCAAGTTCCTGGAGCCCTCTATTTGTTTGTTGTTACAATTCCTATGATCGCTAAACCCTTCAATGATCGAACAAGTCTTGCTGTATCTAGATCATCACCAAGGCAAGAAAAATTACCGCAATGGCTCTAGCTCTTGACGCTCGACAATCTGGTCTTTTCGTCCGCATCTACGATGACAAGAGTTGAAATTTTTTAATTTTTTTAAATTTTCCTTGTCGTCGGTTTGACTTAACTAGCCGCGCTGTATTTAGATCATCGCCGAGGCCAATAGACAAGTCTACAGCATCTCTGGCTAATCGAAGTAGAGTTTAATAATCATTCGAAGTCTTTGAAGGTAGTAGTGTTAATTTTTTCGCAGTTTTTAAAATTACGTTTTTCATCGATTCAACCTAGCCAATCGGGCATCATCTTGATCATTGCCAAGGCCAGACGATACCTCCACATCACCGCTGTCGATAAGCTGTCAAGTTTTTACATCAGTTAACAGTACTAGCAACTTATTTGCCGTATTTTTTTCTCATTTGAATTAAGTTTTTTTGCCGATTCGTGCTTTGTTATCGTCATGACAACCAACGCGAAGGATTTGGCTAGGACTTTTCATTCATCAAAATCATGACCTTACTACTTCAATTTTCTCGAAAACCATTGGTTTTAGAGAAAAACACGAGAGAGGTTTTCGACCCCAAATTACTCATAGAATATATATGTTCATTCTGTTTGACTACTTTTAAATCACGGTGTATATCTCGGAGAGAACTGAACACAAGTCAAGAGTATAAGCTTTGAGAAATATGTCGAATTTTCGGTTTCCGATGATCCTGTCAGGAAATATCCTGCCTACCGCAGGGCAACAGGATAGCCAAGGAAAACTGATGGAAAATCAACAATTTTCTATATTTTCATCTAAAATTGTTTTTACAGATTCTTTTATGGATAAAAATCATTGTGTAAGAATTTCATATCGATTGAACTTTTGGTTTTTGAAACATAATTAAAAAAAAATAAATAAATAATTGTCGAAACACAGAGCTATGAAACCTCTTAATAGTGATAACGTGGTTAGTTAAAGTACAATGGAAAAATTAAGACAGTGAATAATTCTAAAATAGTAAAGAGTTTAAAAAAATAAATACTTACATTGATCAGCTCTAGAATCATTTAAATAAAATAAAATCGGCACGAGAACTTCCAATACATCTGAACTCTTGAGTACAAAATATAAAAATTTTTTATTGTAGTCACATATTTTCCAAAAGAAAACAAGCAGTTCCTGATGAAATTGGACTTTCTTAGTTGAATTAGGCAAATACGTTTGAAGTAGAGGATTATTCATTAATCTAGTAATCCCTTTGAGTATGAATGAAAAATCTGTAAAAATATTTAATTTTAATTAAAATTTTTTTTGGAAATGATCATAATTTCAGTTCATGAAAATAAATTGTTTTTGAAATTTTCGATTTCAAGTATAAAAACCCCTCGAAACTGTTCCTCCTTTACATAAACTCGCTGCTTCAGGCCCTCAACCACAGCAAGAAAAGCTGCATGATGTACGCCGACGATGTACAGATCTATGGTCATTGCGCGCGAGCGGACCTGTCAGCTTTGGTTAGAAGTATGAACGAGGATGCGGTGACCATCAAGGACTGGGCGGATTTAAGTTGACAAAATGGAATATTAACTTATTGATGGCTTAAGACTTATTATGATTACTATCCTCGAGGGGATCTGGAGGGGAAAAACCGACATATTTCGTATTTTTACAGTCTATAACGTAATCTTCCCCTCTCGACGGACTGGGACCTTGACGTTGCCCGGGGATTTGGGCCTTAGCCCGTAGTCTACCAAGGGGCTAAACTAGCCTCCTCGGTGATGCTCAACCCACTCGCGGGCGTGAATGGCAGGTAGGACCAATAAACGGTACCTTGAATGGCGGTCTCTTTCTATGAACGGAAGATTCCCTGAATGAGGTTGCCTCGACAACAGAGTGAATGAAGACGCGATCGGGGAGGCTGCTTCGGGTTGACTGGTGACACACACCAGTCCAGGTCTTAATCGGAGGGTTAGGCAGATCGCGCCCTTGATAGTCCTGGCACCGGGAGTATAACGGCAAAGGTGCTTTAGCAATGGCGCTCCTAATCAGCGGGTGAAACGGTCACAAGGGAAGAGGTGCTTTAGTGAAAGCACTCAGAGGCACCGGGAGCCCCCCCCCCCCCCCCCCC